AAACATTTCCACGTAACGAATGACGGAAATTAATTGCGAATTTTTATGTATGCTTTAATTGTGCATTTGTATTTCCTTAAACTCTGTATTTAGATAAATTTGCTGCTTCCCCAAAATATTATATTTACACTCAACTCTATTATTGAATGGAATGTATAAATCAGTGACTCCCAACCTCCTCTCGCCGCGGTAGCCTAGTGGTCAGGATAACGGACGCGTGGCCGGCGTGCTACGAAATCAGGCCCAGTGCCACTGAAAACCCACCGTACAGGGGAGCGACACACGTTAAACACGTCGAGAGCTCAAACGTCCTCCCATTGGTGGGGTGTGGTAAGGAGAGGGTGGTGAGAGCTCAGGTGTCGTCCTCGTCACTTGCGCATGGTTCAAAATGACTAGATCCGTCTCCAAAAGCCCTCGTGTAGCTAAAAACAGAGGGAAGTTAATATTCACTCACTCACCCAACCTCCTTTTTGTTGAGGTACTCCTTTAAAAATTTCTAAATTTGGTGACACATTAACAATCAAATAAATTTAAAAGAATTTTATTTATCTATAATACACTATGCAAAATAGTTTATGATAGTTTTTTCAATGTTAAATTGATTAACATCTACGGCAAAGACAACAAAATGTTTATGGAGCAATTAATAACAAATTAATTATTTGAATACATTTAATGTGAAATTTCAGCTTGATTATGTTTGATAGTTTAGTTTATATATAGTCGTAAAAACGATAATGCCACTCTCATTGAATCACTTACATTTCAAAGTCTCGATATGTTTTTTTCCTTTTGTGATATTTGTTAATGCTGAAAATTCGAATTCTTCCAAGTAAGATGCAGAAAATTGTAACGATATGTTTAAAGTATTTATGAGATAATCATCACTAATATTAATCCAAAATGAATTAAATTAAATGAAATTAGTTTTTCCTCTCCATTTATATACATTCAATTTATATACAGTTGTATCCGTATACGAATGGATTACGAACGCACTCAAAACTTTTCCTATCAATTTATCCTCGAAAGGATAAGTTAAATATACCACATATAACCTTAGTTTCCTTTTATAAAATGACCGAATGATTCGGTTTCGAATTTTATTTTTTTTCACAGAGTATAATAATAATTTTGAAAAAAATATGACAACACACGTCAAGAATTTGGTGGGACACTAAAGCGCTGTGGCACGGTAGTTGAGAATCATTGGTATAAATACTTCTTCAACTTTCAAGAGTTAATTTTTTAAATACACATTCTTTTTTGTTTGTATACTAAAATGTTCTCTTTTTATATCACCTAATCATCATTATCTTTTGACTTTACTACGAGTATAACACTCTGTAAATAAAATCGTATAATTATTATATTAGCTAATCACTTATAATTAGAAGTCTCAATCGGTTTTATGAAAAAAAAATGTCTCTCGAGTCTGTATTGCACCTTCATTATTATCGAATTATTTTTATTTAATGTTCTGAAAATCTAGAGTGAAAGCAGTTTCCTCACTTGAATATAATGCTAACGTGTTTAAAAAAATGTCTGCTAGGCAAATCTATTATCTTTTCAAAAACTAAGTTTATGTTACCTTTGATATTAAGTTATTAGTTAATATCTGTTCATTTTTGTGACCTATATTTCATCGCCCAAAATAATAGTATAAAGTGATTTAGTAACACCCTATTGTAGACAATACTTTAGATTGATTGATTGAATATTAACGTCGCACTGTTCAGCTACACGAGGGCTTTTGGCGACGGACCACGTAATTTTGAACCATGGTCAAGTGACGTGGACGACACCTGAGCTGGCACCCCCTCTCCTACGACCACACCACACCAACGGGAGGACGTTTCAGCTCTCGACAGATTTAACGTGCATCGCTGCCCTACACGGCGGGTCTTTAGTGGTACTGGGCTCGAACTCGTGACAAGGCAAGCCACGATCCGATACCTATACCACTCGGCTACCGCGGCCACAGACACTACTTTAGAGAGAGCCCCCTGTTTAGAAAATCCTTACCTGAATCCTCATTTAAATCAAGTGATTAATGAAAATCTTAGTATTCAATGAAAAAAAATAAAGTGTATTAACATGATTTCTTACATATAAATAATTGTATACTAAAAATATGTGTGGTTTATTGCAATTCGTGAAAGTACACTATATAAAATAAAGTCGATGCACCAAGAAGGAGTTGCCGATTGTAATAAACTTTCTCATACAAATACATTTGGACCTAACATGCAAATTATTAACATTTGGTGCCCAATGAATAAATAGTGGAAGTTCCAGCACATCTGAACCGCGCATTCAGCAGGTGTATGACAAGAGGGATTGTCAAGCTGATGGTCAAAATTTATTTTGCATTTTGACTGCTATATCTTACAACAGTACTAAAAAATCCCTCGCTGAAGGTTTCGCCCACCTTACCAGCAGATGTGAAGTTTGAAAGAGTTCGTTCGACAGGATTCAAAGAAATTGATTTGACGAATTATTGAATTGCTCAACATCTGGATCGAAGTCATGTGGTGATTAGATGATGCTAGCATGTGTGAGTCAACAATGGTAGATATCAAAGTCAAAAGAGGGAAGCGTTCGACCGAGGTCACAACAGAGCAAAAAGACAGTGATTGTCAAAAGAGTTATCAGATCACCGGATTCATCCTTATCAGCTAGCCAGCTTGTGACACATACACATGTGTCTCACATGACTCTCCACAAAAGACTGAGTAAGCGGAATTTACCCTCACGCCGGTCGTTACGCCACTCACCTCTCACACCCGTACACCGTCGAGTCCGATTGTAATTTTATCGGGCTTGATCAACCGAGAGTTTGACTGACTGGTGACGTATAGTCTTTAGTGACTAATCCAGCTTCCAACTATGTCCTGATGACCAACGCAAACTCCAGGGCAGCATATAAATCTTTCCCAGGTTATCGCACGCCACTTAGGTCTACAACCGGGCGTTAGCTTTGATAGCCGGACCCTTTCGTGTTTGACACATTGATAGCAAAGCGGTACGTTGACGACATCCTATGGCCGGTTGTGTTTGCAACTATATATAATGCCAGGGTACTCAACCTCTTTTTCTTCTGAACCGCGTACATATAACAGCTATTTCAGGGTGGGCCGCATACATATGTTAGCAATTTACCGCCGGCCGCATCGTGAGGAAAAAGAGGGGGAGGGTTTAATGTGAAAAACTGGTCAAAATATTTTAACTCATGTTTTCTTTTTTTAAATTATTATACTTTAATTTTTTTATACTAACACTGAATTAGAAGCGTTTAAAAAACACTCCTCTACAATTTCTGCCTCAGTGAACGATTTTATATGATTACCAATAATATAACAAACTTCTTAATATGTCTTTGTTACCGCTGTGACATTACCACAGACAAAACGCTTTGTTGCCGTTGCAAAGATTATTCAAGAAAGACTATTTATTACTTCTTGAAAGAGTTCTTCGAGAAAAAGTGTCATTGATTGATTCCTTTTCATTGGTATTTTTTTTTAAATATAGCACATTCGTGACAAATCAAACAATTACTGATCCATGTTTGTTTTTCACTACAAAATAGTCAGCCTACCAATCGTCCTGAAACGTTACATTTTCTTCGGATATTTTTCGCTTGCAAGGTATAAAAGAGTTAGTAAAAAATATTAGTTCCGCCCATAAAACTGTCAATACTCCAATGTTGTCTGTTATCACTAACCGTAACCTTTACAAATAGAAAACGAATATCAGTTCGCACTCATACGAAATTGACAGAAAACTAAATTTGATATCTTTGATTTCTTGACACCAAATTCTTAATATATTTTTATTTTAGTAAGTGAATTTTTCAGAGAGAGAGCAATGAATACTAACTGGACCACTTAAAAAGAATCGGTGGTCCGCATGTGGCCCGAGGGCTGTAAGTTGAGTATCACTGAACTAATATCTTATGCCTAACAAGGCTGCGTTCTCGCCAACAAAGGGCTGAGAAGTTAAGTCGAAGGTAGGGTAGGTTCGCCACATTTGGCGCGTTGCGCACAAAGTGCGAATCCTTCCCTAAAGAGAAATGATCCATATTTTTTTTATAATGTTGTAAAAGTCGGCTTTGAGTTCGAGGCCATGACAACTCGGTCATTGCGGCCACATATGATGTATAATACTTATCAATAAAATGAGAATGCTATAAATATACCTGCAACATAAGGATGTGTTTATAAGTTTTAGTTTGTGTAATTTTTTCCTTTCTATTTATGAACATTTTCTCATTTTGATAATACATACAGAAAGCAAACATTCAAAGAATAATCATATTTTTTGCTGCATTTGTACATGAACTCACTTAATATTACATATCTAAAAACTGAATGATCGATGATTCTTTTCTAACATCCCTGTCTCTCATTACAGGTGATACTTCCAAAAAACCTCATTTACCTAAGTGACACCATACAGAAATGAATATGCGACTTCTCTCAATCTATTTAAAATCCCCACACTCCATAACATTTTTTTTTTCTGTAATGCGGCCGCGTATTGGTATTTCTACCTCTGCAGACATTCCTCAGGAAATGGAATCCATTTTAGTGCGGCACCATTTACGCGATACCAATCACCGCAAGCATGTTTGACGCCCAATTTCATCCCCAGAGGGAGGCACTTGAGCTCTGCCGATGCGAAATTTGTACTTAAAATTTTTAGTTTGTCGAGAGCATCGAACCCAAACGGACACTCAAGGGTCTTTTTCATGCCTTATAATCATTCGACATGGCCGCTGTCAATTTGCTGCATTAGGAAAATCCACCGACTTGTGCCGGGGTCCAACCCGCAACCTTGGGTACAGAAGGACTGAGATAAACCAACTACGCCACCCAGCCGACCAAATGACGGTAAGGAGCAATGGGGCGGTGTGTATCTCCTCAAGCCCGACTCGGGAACCAGACTTTACCGCAAACATTTCTGCTGCCCCCAACCGGCCGGGAGCGGGCACCCTCAAAACTGTTCCCATGTGGCCACCCTGCCAACTACTGACCAGGCCCGATGATGCTTAACTTCAGTAATCCAATAAGAACTGATGTGTACAGCAAAATATGGCCGTTAGCATGTATTACATGACGGTTACCTAGATGATTCCATGAATCCAGAGTTGTAACCCCCCGTAGTTTAAACTCTTCTCATATGAACAGTAGAAAGACTATCGCGCCCTCTAGCGGCTAGAACAATCTTCAGTAATGGCCAAGCTTCGGAACTGTAAGGACGTACGAGCATGCGCTCCGACCCCTTTCAATTCTATTGTAACTGTTAGTTCTCTAGTTATGTATGTAAATGTTTGTTTTGTCTAATAAACGTGTTTAATTAACTAGTGGACTTAATTAAGAACCCCTTCCCCGCGTGTCCCTTTATTACATTGGGTCACACCCCTTATAATTTGGCGCCCAACGTGTTTCTATAGTTAAAGAGGCTTGGCTGTTGCTCAGTATTAATTTTCAGGTTAACCACTATTGTTCCGTTCTCACCTGTAGAATGAGCAAGTTCAACAAAATCGTTGGATTTATCTTCACCTGAAGAACAAGTAAAGTTTTTACTTTGAATTTTCTTTTAAGTATTATACCTTATAATATTAAATTAATCATTGCATGCCCAAAGGCAATTTGGATTTAACATCCTAAAGAATTGTGTAAGTTTTAATTTCTTAAAAATTGACTTCATTGTTCTGACATAGAGAACATTCTTTACTGATTTAAATTTAGAACGTCCTGTTCGAATTAAATTAAGAAATCTTTTTTTCTTATTTCAAGAAATGTAATTGTGTAATTTGCTAAAAAGCATAATATACAGTTAAATTATTTTCAATGTGTTTCTAAAATATACTTCCTGTATTGTTTAAACTAATAAGTATAACGTTGTTTACTTAAAAGCTTAAGTGAGAATACAAAACCAAATATATATGTATTTATGTGTATTGTTTTCTTTGAATGATTACAATTCTTGTTCGAAAGCATTTAAGCTGGAAAAATTTTGTATTGTTATATGCTATTTTCAAAAAAAAAAAATATTCATTTATGTGTATAATTTTAAGTGTAAAATGTGCATTATATGTTGAAAGATTTGTCTCAGTTAAATAATATATTTAGTGGTTTAAAAGAAAAAAAGAATATATATATCTCCGTTTTCTCTTCTTGCTAGTATTAATTTTTAAGCTATGATTCATTTATGAAACTGATGAGATATTTTATGCTGCGTAAGCGAGAATAAATTTAAACAGGGAGAAATAGACAGTTCAAGGTTATTTATAACTCTGAGTTTTAATAACTTTTCTTTTTGAATACTAATAGGAAATTTTGTTTCGGCTAAGTAGAACTTTTATTTATGAGAACGTATATGATTCTTTTTACTTGTGGTATGATGTATTTTAAATGTGTTTTCAGATCATTTTGATGATTTTTTTTAACTAAAAGTTTGATAGTAATTTTACTTTGATTGTGTATTGAGCTTGAAAACAACGAAAATAGTTTTATTTTTTTTTTTCATTTTTGTGATTCATGAAATTTTTTTTTTCAAATTGCATATTGTAAGAAATTGAGATATTACTTTTATGTGGTATATATAATACTGTATTATTATTTCATTAATAACATTTTGTTAAATTAAATTTAAAGTTCAAAGAATATAAATTTGTAATTAATTTGAAGTAACATTTCACGATGGCCTATTTAGCAAAATGTCGCAGGCAGGACCTCCTTGAATTGGCGGAAACGCTAGACATATCAATACAAGACAATTTTAAAATTCTTGACATAAAAGACGCAATCTTAAAAAGTGAAGGATATGATGCAGAATTTACGTGTGAATGCTTAAATCGCATTATTTGTGATAGAAAAGAGCTCGAATTGCGGGCTGAAAGAGAAAAAGAAAACCAAAGACAATTTGAATTGCAAAAACTCCAATGTAATTCTACAACTTTAGACTCCAATATGCCAAAGTTAGAACTCCAAAAATTACTTCCGATTTTTGATCCAAAGACAACTGATGTAACAATTTTTCTAGACCTATTCGAAAGGCAGTTAACATTTTTAAAAGTACCAGTTCCTCAGTGAATGGTGTACCTTGTTGGTCTTTTACCAACTGAAGTTTCAAATTTAATCACTAAAGAATCTTTTGCCGATGCTCAAGACTACTATAAAGTCAAACAAATTCTTCTAAAACGCTTTAAATTAAGTGCAGAAAAATTTCGGCAGATGTTTTCCCGACACACTAAAGATCCTGTAAAAACCTGGCGTGACTTCTACTTTGACTTGCAAACATATTTTGATGGGTGGCTGAAAGAATCAAAAGTTATGACGCTTGAAGAATTGAAAGATTTGATTGTTGCGGACCAAATAAAAAGAAAACCCCTCAAGATTACAAAGATCACTTTTGGACCAGTGGTGTAATTGGAACAATCCTCTACAACTAGTGGATAAGCTAGATTCGTATGAAGAAGTTAAAAAAACATGAGAAATAAAAACTTTAGCTGGAAACAAAAGAAATGAATTCCAGTCCCTGGAGAAGTAACTACACACAAAATCCTAAGTTGTCGTATGAACATTCTCTGTCTGGTTTCCCCAGTCAAAGTAGGCGGGAAACCGGGATTCCCAGTAACAGTAGGCGGAATCCCATTTCCAAAGACAGAATACCTGAAAAGAAAATCGTTGATACAAAAGAAGACAGAAGTCCTGTATCTTGCTATGGGTGTGGTGCTCCTGGAATCATTCGATCAAGATGCCACACTTGCAACCCAGTTCGACAAAAAGATGATGCCTTGTCATCAAGTCTGAATCAATCAAACTTTTATAGTTTTTCTAGTGAAAGTAATCCCATTAGTATAATCCAAATTTCCATTTGTAATACAGAAGCAGCAGTTTGTGCTGATACTGGTGCTACACATTCAGTGGCTGGTGAAAAATTATACCATTTACTTAAACAAAAAGGATTCAATTTTGAAGAGAAAACCATGCAGATGACTCTTGCTGACGGTCGTACTCAAACCACAGAAATACTGAAAACTCATTCCCACGGACCTATTAATTTTGAAAAATGCTAGAGGTAACAGAACCCTTCTAGGCATAGACTTTTTAACAGCTGCAGGGATCGTCTTAGATCTCCAAAGAAAACAATGATACTTCACTGAAACGTCTCACAGAAAATATAATTTTGTGAAAGCGCCTCCTAATATCAATGCTCTGCTCACTGTTGACCCTAAACCACATCTTTGTCAACTTCGGAAAAATGAAGGTACACACCTTTCACTTCCACAACGGGAAGAAATAAGTTCACTATTGGAAAAGTATGAATAATGCTTTCAACCAGGGGGAGAGCCTACACCATTTATTGAACATCGTATAAATACAAGAAACCATCTTCCAGTTGCAGTGCCACCTTATAGGATGAATCCTTCCAAGAAGGAAATATTAAAACAAGAAATCGATAGACTTCTCTCAGAAGGCATAATTGAAGAATGTGAATCCCCGTATGCTTCCCCAGTTGTACTTATACCAAAACCAAATGGAACATTTCGCCTCTGTATTGATTACAGGAAATTGAATGAAATTACAGTCGCAGATACCTATCCTCTTCCTAGAATGGATGACTTGTTACATCAAGCAAAACTTACTCCTTTCATGTCTACACTTGATCTGCGAGCAGGATACCATCAAGTTAAAGTGCATGTTGAAGATCAAGACAAGACACCATTTGTATGTCCTTTTGGCACTTACCGTTTCTTACGAATGCCATATGGTTTGCGCAACGCACCTGCTACGTTTCAAAGACTGATTAACCGTTTTTGTAATGGTCTGGAAGACATTCTAGCACTACCTTATCTAGATGATATAATTGTTTTGTCAGAAACTTTTGAAAAAACACATGTTTGATCTTAAAACTATTTTTGAAAGACTCTTACATTTCAAACTTAAAGCAAATAGAGAAAAATGCCATTTTGCCTCTTCTCGAGTTAAATATCTTGGATTTTGGATTACACAAAAAGGAATAGAAGTTGATTCAGAAAAAGTTGCGTCTATACTGGATATTCCACCCCCTAAAAACGTCAAAGAACTACAAACTTTTCTGCAAACTTGTTCGTGGTTTCGAAGATATATTCAAGATTTTGCGAAGATTTCACGTCCACTAAGTTATCTTACAAAGAAGAAAGTTAAGTGGCAGTGGGGATTTGAGCAACAAAATGCATTTCAAACCCTTAAAAACAGTCTTAGAACACCTCCTGTGTTAAAGCAAGCAGATGGTACTAAGCCATATATTATTCGAACAGATGCTAGCAATTATGCCCTTGGAGCAGTTTTACTTCAAGGAGAAGGATCTGATGAACATCCTATAGAATAAGCTAGTCGACTGCTAACCCCAGCAGAACGCAATTATTCCACCACAGAGAGGGAGGCCCTTGCTGTGGTATGGGCTTTAAAGAAATTTCGTGGTTATATTGAAGGAACAGAAATAACCGTGGCATCCGACCACCAACCTCTGAAATGGCTTCTAAACCTCAAGTCTCCAACCGGACGACTTGCAAGATGGGCACTTGAAATCCAGTCTTTCAACTTGAAAGTACAGTATATTCCTGGTAAAGCAAATGTCGTTGCAGACATGTTATCTCGCCCAGTTACTCAAGAAGAAGAATCCTTTTGCGAAGAAAATAATATCACGATAGCTGATATGCCTACACGAAGTTGTAAGGACATGCGTGAGGCGCAGCTTAAAGATGATAATTTAAGGAAAATCATCGAAGTTTTGAATCCCCTCTAAAAACTGAAGAATATGCAAACTGGACTGAACGTGGATTTTTGATGAATCAAGGTGTTTTGTATCGTTATGTTCCAAGCCCGTCGACTGCTACAACTGCAGTTTCCAACAGAACCATCCATCCCTCAACAAGAGCTACTACTATAACAGCTAATTATGTCTCCCTCGCCGGGACGTCGTCGGATCCATAGGGGAGATTGTAACCCCGTAGTTTAAACTCTTCTCATATGAACAGTAGAAAGACTATCGCGCCCTCTAGCGGCTAGAACAATCTTCAGTAATGGCCAAGCTTCGGAACTGTAAGGAC